CACTAATTTGTGCCGCTACCATTTGTGCTGCTGTAAGCACATGCCCCTGCTTGTATGGATGCAGCCATACAGGCCAATTTCTAAATATGACTTCCCAAGATTGGGGCCTTACATCTATATATAGTTGCTTAAATATCCATGTTATCCACCAAAGTTCCAAGGCAAGTTCCTTATTTATATGCCTAAACCAGAAATTTAGGTATGTAAATGAAGATATATAAGTTTGACAATGGATCCACAGAAACCATCAAAGTAAATGGGTAAAATGATGTTAAGATGTGCTCAGATACGTTATGGAAAAAAGCCCAATTTTTTTATACCATGTACAAACAACAGGCAGACACAATAAGATGAGTTTGTTGCTGTTTTTTGTTGTCCTGAAACCAGACCTTTCATAATTATTTCAGTTTGGACCACATCCTAGTAGCAAAGATTTCTGGCTCATCCCCAAATTTGTGATCACATCCCACATCCCAGAGGAAAAACGTAGCATCTGTTTAAGTGAAAAGTAATATTAGAGAAGTATTCTGCTGTTAGATGTCTTTAATGTGACTTGGCAGCTGGAAGCAAGAAGGAGAGACAAATGCCATGCGACTAGTCAGCTCTCTGAAACAGTTCAGGAACCATTGTATTTTATTTAAGCATACGATACAGAGGTGACTTATGATTGTGACATTATTAAGAGGTAAGAGAACACAAATGATGGGCCAGCAAACTAGTGTCCTGGTTTCAATTGTTAAGAAACTGAAACCAAAGAATTTCATATGGTTTGCACATAAAAGATGGAAAGGAGGCAAACTGTAGCTCATGAGCTGCTAGGGAAATGTGGGTTGACATACATCAGGAGTGTCAAACTGTTTTGGTCCCACAGGCTGGATGAGTGATGCTGCATGGCCGCAAAGCTGCTGCCACTGTGCTGTGTTGCACAGCCCACGCTGCAGCGCTTGTCACTGAAGCCATTGCCAGGCTGCACTGTATGGCTCAGGAGCTGCCACCACTGCCACATATCCATGGCTCAGAGACCCACAGGAAGCACCAGGAGGCATCAGACAGCTCCATGGGCCAGATCCAGTCCATGGGCCATATTCTTGACACCTCTGACATATACAGCGTGGAGTCTACCCTAAAGGAAGCAGAGGAGGGGTTTTTTTGTTGACAACCAGCTGCTAAGCAGTTGGGCTCTGAAGGGAGAGAAAGTGCAGTGCAGCTTCCTACTTCTAGGGAGTGATGTGCTACAAGAAATGCTCCTGCCCAGATTCCTGGAGATTTACAGCCTGAATGAAAGAAGCAAGACTGTGCCAAAAAGAGGCAGGTATGTCTAGGATGCAGACCCTCAAGGCATCTAATAACATGTAGCAGTGTTACAGTGGATCTTTATGCAAACTGAGAGTGCAAACTCAATTTGAAAATGCATGTGTAGCTATTATACTGCATGTCCCTAATAAATACTATCATGGAATGGAAGGGCAACTCTATTTATTTCTTCTCATGTATGGGAATTTCAGAAGGCAAAATGTACATAGTATGTGTCTTGCAGTTCCCAACCATATCTAGATATTGGCATGAGACTCCTAGAAGCAAGAAGTCTGGTGACCCAAAGTATATGATAATGGGATGGCTTTGAAATAAACTACATGTATACATACCTGTAAACAGATAAATAATATAGTAACTGTAATTGGCATGAGATAATATTTCTATTTATTAGCTCAGGCAAAAAGGGGAGGTATTGTTACTGAGGAAAAGTGAACCTTCTAAGGAAATGTGTAGCTCTTCCCCTATCATGAATAAAGATTGAGAAGAATACAGGAAAGGAAAAACCTGATCCTTGCCCCTTTGGGAAGAGAGGTCCTTAACATGAGGACCTCTTCTCTCTGAGAAGAATACAGGAAATGCTGTTATTCCTTTCATACATTCTTGGTTAGGGTGACCACTTTCAAAAGGGTTTACATCCCAAGACTTCTGACTCCTACTTCAAGATTGTGCACCTGTCAATCTAACCTGTTGAGAGAAATCCTCTAAGCATTTCCTGTATTCTTCCCAATCTTTATTCATGATAGGGGAAGAGCTACACATTTCCTTAGAAGGTTCACTTTTCCTCAGTAACAGTACCTCCCCTTTTCGCCTGAGTTGATAAATAGAAATATTATCTCATGCCAATTACAGTTACTATATTAGTTATCTGTTTATAGGTATGTATACATGTAGTAGAAGGCAACTGTAATGCATTTAGCAAGGCTTCTACACTGGGAAATCATCTGAAAGGAGAAACCTGATCCTTGCCCCTTTGGGAAGAGAGGTCCTTAACGTGTGTTCTCTCAGCGATAACCACACTAATCTTACAAAAGGTGTGAAATGTGTCATATTTGGAGAAGATTCTGTCCACTGTATACTGCATTAAAGATCATTCCAGAGCTTGCTTGGTCATGCAAATAAGCAACTCTCAGAGTGATTAGGAAATACCACAGACTTATATCACACCTCTAGAAGTCTCTAATTTAATGACAAAACTGCATGTCAACTCCTACAATAAATCAGCTTCCACAGTGGCCAAAATATCCATACGCACTAGAGAAAAGAGCAGAGATCTTTTTGGGCCTGGTTGAAAAAATTCCTGCTGAACCCTTTTTTTGGTGGAAGAAAGGAAAAAAATAGGGAAAACTTCTCCACAGTTTTTCAGAGCTTTCCCATATTTCCTAGATGGAAAATAACTCACAGGCCTAGACACGAACTATAATCTGGTCTAACCCAGATACTACGTTGTCATTCATGATTCCCAGGATAACTTCACTTAATGGATCTTGCAGATTGAACAGACTGAGGTTTTGACCAAGGACCACAAACAGAGAACAGCGTTATGCTTCAGAACTCACCCAGAGGTCATTAGACCACTGAATAGCTAATTTGGAGTAATTTATAAAATAGCATTACAAAAGCAAAAGGGATATAAACACTTGCCACTTTCTGGAAGTGGAAATGCTGAAATTAAGTCTAGATTTCCTGATCAGCCAACCAACAAAACAATGACTAGGAAAACTATAAAATTATGAGTCTGATTTGTCCATTTTCTTTTTATCATGTTGACAGCTACAAAGGTACATCATTCCTTCAGCCAGCAAAATATTCAATATTTGAAACATGAGAAGGACTACTGAGCTAGAAACATCTTACTTGATTTACACAGCAATTCATTTTTCCTCAATTGTGTCTTTTATTGGTATTCAGCTAAAATACCACATCCAAATGTGTTTCTTTCCATTCTACATAAAAGAGCTACCATGTTTAAATGAATTCAAGACAAGGTTGAATTTATGATGACCCCCCTTCCCCAGTGTTTAGTGCGGCATGAGTCCCTATTCATGATGCATACCCCATCCCCTAATGCACTGTTGCCCCATTCCTCAGGTGTGCTACTACTACCACACCCCCTGACCCAAGTGCGTCAGGGGATACAACAACAGTGCGAGTCGGGGAAGGGGGAATGGGGCAGCAGCACAGGTCAAGGGATAGGGAAGCAGTGTGTGCTGCTGTGACATCCACCAATGTGCTACTGCCCCATCCCACACTTAAGCTGCTGCCGCTTCCCTTGACCTGCACTGCTGACTGATCAGCGGCATGGGTCAGGGGATAGGGCAGCAGCACGTTGCTGCCCTATCCCTCGATCTGATCCCTAACTGCGCTGCTGTGCCATCCCTGACCCACCCATCCCGAATCCTAGCCCTGCCCCTGACCTGCGCTCACCGGATAGCTGCTGACTCTGTCTCCAAACAGCACGAGCACCAGCTCTGGCTCTGGCCCTGGGCTGAGACTGGGGCCAGAGCAGAGATGGAGATCTGGTACTCAAATCTAAGATGAAGCTTGTTTTCCCCCCTGTAGACAGAGGGTAAAAACCTCATCTTGGATTTGAGTAAATATAGTACTGGAGTCTGTAAATGGCTTGGACAAAATATGTCAATGCTTGCTACAGCAACACAGGCTCCTTCACTGAGGCTAGGTTTGCTGATGGTTGTACTGCAGAAAACTAGTAAGCATGGGAGGAAGAGGGGGAGCTCATTCACCGAAAGGTTCAGACAAGTCACACGTACAGACTGCAGTCATTCATAGGACACATACAAACTGTAATAGGTCTCGTCCTCTTGGGAGTACTGTCCTTCCAGTGGTCAACCACTGGGGTTGAGAACACTGAAAATGCTTTCTGTTTCATTTTAAAATGAAAAGAAGATTGAAGGTGACTGATGTGACGACCTCACAGGAAAAGTGTAGGGACTACCCTGCATAAGCTAATTACCATAACTCCTCTAAAACTACAAAGCCAACACTGTTAGATTACGAAGGGTTACTATTTTTAACTTAGTGCAGAGACTGACAAAAACAATTGCGACTAATCTCTCAATATCAAGCATTGTTACTGCAAATCCTGCAGTGCTTTGGTACATAAGCGCCAGTATCATGTGCTCTTCAGCATCCAGGAATGGTGACCGGGGACCAAAAATATAACCTTACAGACATGGAGGGAAAATGTCATGCAGAAAAAGTAGGATCTGGGGAAGAAGGATGAAAAGGAGCAAAAGAAAGTGAATCTGAGAAAACAGGAAGAGGAAGGGAAGAGGAAGACAGAGATAATAGCGAGGAAAGAAGGAAAAAGCATACAATGAAGGAAAAACAAAGTTTTGCCTTCTTTATATCTTCATTTTAATTCTTTCTAGGACTTAAAAACACCCTCTTAATCTCTTTCATCCTGATACTCATGCCAACATTAATTGGTTTTGCACAATTTTATCAAACCCTGGAGAATGAGAAATGGAGAATACCTTCACTCAGCCATATTAGATGGTAAAAATCTGAATGACGCTAGCATGTCCTGTTAAATAGTAGTCAAGTCAGACATCCCCAACATGTAATCTTAAACACTACCTGTTCACCAAACACAAAGAATGATTGCCTAGGTTAGTATTACAAAAAAAAAGCTATATTACAGAGAGAGAGAGGACACTACTTACCTATAATACCACTATCTCTGCTTTCAAGAGTGGATGTAGGACTGGTAACAGCCCCATAGTTGCAATCCTTGGATGTGACGTTTGTACTGACTGGAGGGAGGGTGGAGCAGGGACTGTTGGCTGGTGGTGAGGCTGTGCTGCTTGTCAGTGTAGAGCAGGGACTTATCCTCTGAGTTACTGCCGAGGTCTGAAAAAACGAAACCAGAAACATCATTCACCATGATCAATTACTGTGAAAAAAAAGTATTTTTGTACCTCTCGCTTGAGAATTTGACTCCTAATAAAGAACAAAATATGGATTTACTCTACAATGTGAAAATGCCCACTGTACTCAGACTCTGCATCTGGAAAAAATGAAAAGCACTGATAGTTTGTTTTACATTTCTTTTACAAAAGATCCTATGCCCTAATTTCAACTGGAAATCTAGAGAAGTTTGTACAAACTGAGATTTACTGGGCGCATCTACATGTGATGCTATGTCGCCATAGCAATGTGCTACAGCAACGTAACATCTGCAGGCAAAACCTGTGATGCCACGGCGACGTTGCCATAGTGACGTGCCCCCCCCCCCCC